ACGTTTGACCTGGGTCTTGATTACCTTTCTTAGCTTATTTCTGTGCATTCCTTATAATTTTGGTTCTGAGAATCTTCTTTATGTGGTTTATAAAATTCCTTGTGCCAACTTTCCTTGAAGCTGTTTTGACGCAACTGGAAGTTGTTTCTCTACGAGGAAAAAAGAACACATCCGGAACGTAAAATATGCGAAAAGGTTCCAATATTTCAGCCCGTAAATGTTCCAAAAAGCGTTCTATTGACTTTGAAGTTGCTAGTGTAATTAACAAAGAAAACTTTCGAGTTCGAAAAACTTAAGAATCATGGCAGGTTGCAAATACTAAGCAGACAATAACTCTAAACCGTTGCCAAAACAATACTCTATTTTAAATTAGTCTCTTATTTAAACGTTTTTACATTTTTCACACATTCTTTTCGCATACATTTTTCATCTCGCGCTTTTACATTATAGTTTTGAAAGGATTCAGACTGAAAGCTGAACGCCCACGTTCTAAAATTCTTAACCAAAAAAACGTTTTCGCTCAAAATGAGAATCATCGTCACGTTTCCACAAAAAAATTGTAGTAAAACCCACTTGACGCAAGAAAAATTACGATTAAAATTTTTTTTTTTCTTTCTCGGGATTTTTCTAAAGTTGAAAATGATTTTAAATCGACGCTTAACAGGCCGTCTTCAGGAAATTAAGAAAATCAAAATCAATATGGCAGAGTGCTGTTTTTGCTTCGCAACTGCACCTTGAGTCATATCGTGACAGTTATACGTGAATCTTCAAACGTCATGGTAAAAATGCGCGGGAAAATACACCTGAAGACAAATCGGGAACATTATATGAATGCATTTAAGTAAGAAAAAACCACGATCCTTCTTATGATCCTTCTCAAACCAGCTAAAAAAAAGCAAACAACTTTTTTGCAATGAGAGGTGAACGTTCTCGAGATCTCGAACATCCCAGCCCAATTCTTTTTTAATAGATGTAGCAGCTGCAAAGGTGGCAGGATTGCAAAACGCTGTAAAACCACAGTTTATCTCTAAGAAAACATCCCAGACTTCCTTTTCTCCTTTTCCACTGCTGCTGTAACAACTTCCATTGCGTCAAGATCAGATTTAATATGTTTTTCATCAAAAAAATACGTTGATTTATCTTCAGGCTTTTTGAGACTCACCCAAATATCCAAGACACCTTTCCAACATTCAAGGGCGTCAGTTTAGACGAACTCATGAACTCCCGTTCACTGTATCTTCACGCCAGTCGAGTCATGGCTGCGGTGGAAAGCACCATCTCTGCACTGGATGATGCTGAGGTGTTGGTAGAGAGTCTCACGAACTTGGGACGAAGACATCGGCCTTGGTCGATCAGGGAGGAACATTTTAAGGTAATATGTAACAGAGATTTCGAACGTGTCAGCTAAAAAGGAGGGAAACTGTTGGCCCAAAACCAAGTTTGAAACATTTTGGTTATTTCCATACGTCTTTCATTATTTAGCTAATCGTGAAATATGGAGTTGAACGCAAAAGATCCCTCATTACCAAAATAACAACTATATATCTACTATATAAACAGTGCGGAAATTAAAATGTTTTCAACGACTTTCACACAATTTCCCGGAACTATTTTCCCGAAGAACTGAAGAACTGTAGAGGGAGAGAGGCAGAAGATGGGTTTTGCCACTTAGAATGAAGCTGTCGCCGCGGCGAGAGCCAGAGCAGATTGGAGGAGACGAGTCAATGGCCCCATTCTCCCAGAGGAGAGCTAGGACTGATGATGATGACGATGGTGATAATTTCCCGAAGATCACCGACGTCAGAGACGACCGAAAGTCAGGCGAAAGTTCACGAACATTTCCTCAAAATATTAACAGGTGTGACATAATCACACCTCAAGTTATGATAACTAAAATTTAATTTCAATAATTTATCGTGTCCAATTGTGATTTTCTCCGTGATCTGGGAAAATTACAGAAATGAAGTTTCTTTTTCGTTTCTCAGGTTGTTGGCGAAGCTCTGTTGTGGACATTACAGGACATGCTCAAATCTCAGTGCACAAGTCAAGTGGCAGAAGCCTGGAAAGAGCTCTTTAGCTTTATAACCAAAACAATGCTATGTGGACTTGGAGAAACAACGGTTTAACAATTGTTTTATTAATATGAGTATTTTCTCATTTTTACACTGTTTCTCTTCACTCAAAAAATCGAATGAAAGATTCTTCGTCGGCTGTGGACAGATTCGGCCAACGTGTTTACATCCTCTTTGCCACCCAATTCAGATCATGCGATGATTCATGGAGGTTACGATTGTTCTGTTTGCACATATTCCCATGCAATCAGTTGTGTGTGGCAAATTGCACAATTGTTACCTCCCAAAGGAGTCGTCACGTGGTCTAAATTACGTCGCAACAAGGATGTAAACACGTTAACGGAATGTTTCTAGGATGCCGACCAAGGACAGGAACGTGAATTCGCTGTCCTTAACTTATCTTCACGTTCACACTTGCAATATTCACCTGAAGACCAAAACACATGAATTCATTTATCACCGCAATAAGCCATCTCCACAAGTATGGTCAACTTCTGCAAATGCATAGAATTGTTTCTATCCACACGAGTCGGGCAGCCATTCACGCCTTTCCTCAATCAAGGACGCGTGGATAGGACGCGGACAAGGACCCGAAATGACATCGAGCATGCGTAAATTACTTGATGTGACGCCAGCGGTCAAAAACGCACGGTGATAAATATCCGTTTAGGAATTTTCTAAACTCAGCTCAAAAACAACAACAATCCTTTATTTTAATTATTTAAACACGATTTTGTTCAAAGCAACAGGTTGGCTTGTGGGGTCGTTTATCTTGCTAAAGATTTAAGAAAACATAAATATGTACAGCAGCAATAATAATTATATCCATATACATTCACATTAATAAAATTTAAAATCTGTTACGTTCTTGCTTTGCTTTTTTATCCAGGTCGCATTGAAGTCTTCTTCAATGGTGGATAGAAACAATTCTATGCATTTGCAGAAGTTGACTATACTTGTGGAGATGGCTTATTGAAGTCTTCTTGGTTAATAAGAATGTACTTTCTAACTCTGGCATAGAATTGCTTGAAATTATTAGTA